CAGCAAGAGCTTTTGTCAACGTATAAGTGTTCGGCCGTTTACCAAGCAAATGCGGCGTGATGGCATCAATTACCACATCATCCATCCAATTAATCGCCTCGAAAAGTTTGTTTGGTGGCACAGGAGGTGGATAAACTATCTCTAATATTTCTGATTTGTCACAGTTTGCATATGCTGTACTGACATGAACCAGCACCTTTAACAGAAATGCAGAAGTATTCACCTAAAAACCTGATATGAGATAAACAGGAGAATGAAAGCGCAGGAGGACTTACAAGTAGATTTTTTATCATATGACAAAGAGCAACAAGTCGCTGTGTCCCAAGAACATTCATTTCTATAGATATTCGTAAGGCCTCATCAAACTTCACTGTTGCCGCACAATGGAATACTGAAATGAGTTGATGTGAGATGAAATCTGGAGAAATGCCTTCATTACCAACTTACCGATTGAAACTTCATCACAAATGGTTTGCATATCGAGCTGATTGAGGCCCAAACCTTCTTCCATAATATCACCACCAATTGGAATCAATTTTGAGAATATTCCAGGATTGAACCGACGCAGCCGGTCGAACAAGGGACCCTGTAAGACTAAAGCAATAATTAAAGAAGAATATACTTTACGAACATTTTTGGCATCGACTGCTCGCGTATTAGTAAGAATACCGTAACAAAAGCTATACTAATCTTACTCTCTTACGTCTCTTATTCCTTACATTTGACGTTCCTTCCCTGAAAGGTAACGCAAACCTGAATAATTGTGTCCATTCGTTGCTTTGGACCAAGTCCATTTTTTGGGCGAATTAATAAGTAAATACTTTTTAATGAGTCTACTGAATACAACAATTTTTCGATGAGAACTTTGCCAAGAAAGCCACTTGCACCAGTGACCAATACACTTTGGCCTGCATATATATCTGCCACTTGTTGACTATGTCCCATCGATTACCCTAAAACATTATAACATCATATTGCAAATGTCACCAATTAATTTGTAACAATTCCAAAATGGTGTTAAACATTACAGTTACTGTAAAAGTAGCATCCGATGTTGCTGTTGCTGCTATTTATTGTAACCAGAACAAAGATGTAAACTGCGCATTGAAGAAATTTTTTATGGGTTCGACCTTTCAATCAACTAAATAGTAAAAATCCGGGATTTCCTACAAAACAATACTGACATTAGAAAAACTAATAATGCGACTGTTCAAACAGTATTGACACTACGAAAAGTACCACCGTCAAGGGATCACATTTTTTGAAAATTAGGCCGAAGAAAGGGCAATCTTTGTAATGATCAAGAACCCCTGAAAAGTAAAAATAGTAGAATTGAGAAAAAAAATCAGCTGGAAAACAGGATCAATGGAAAATTGAAATGACCGAAACAGCAGAATGGAGTTGCTACATAGTCTTGCTAATTAATCGCAGTCGCACATTCGCGTCTCAAAAAGTGAAAAGGTGAAGGGATGTTAGGGAAGTCTAACTGTATGAGAAGTGTACATATTTGAACAACCACTGAACATTATCTCTGCTCTTTGGACTACCTCTCCTCTCTCCCTCCCACTGATAAGCCACTATTAATGTCTACCTAAATTGTCACTGCTATGGGAAAGCAATGGGAATAGGCTACACAAATTATTTCCATCATTAAATAGCTTCACTGCAATATCGGGGAACAACATATCACACATCAACACATCATCGTTGTTTAATTAGAGGATAAAGTTCAATAAAGTTTATACAAGATGTATAAGTAGAGATAGTAACACTCGTTGTTAAAAGACACATGAGAACTACGATGAAAATTTATTGACAGCAAAAATGTACGAAAAAGTACGCTCACTTGTACATCAATTCATCACTATAAACTAATGCAGCCGAGTGAACATGGTGCACCACTGATTAACGGTATTAACAACAACGTAAGAGAAACAGTATACATTGACCTCTGTACCGCGCTTACAAAATATATATTGAATAATTCATATCTAACTTCTCTATGAAATCATCACCAAACACTATCAATTCGTCAGTATAGCACATCACATGATACATGTTCCATTTTACAAAATAATTATCCGCTAGGTAGTTCTATTCACCTGCGATTCTTTTTCACTTGATCATATTCATTATACGATTCTTTTCTTTCGAAATGTAAAAAATAGATCTCTGTTTAGTTTAATGATGGATCCAGGAAGATAAAAATAAGGGCAAGTCATGTAGTTCAATATAGATGTGTAAATAGACTGCTAAATAAAAAAAAACACTGCTGACAACATCTGAACAAAAAATCACATACCCGCAGTTGCTTATGAAATATTCAGAAAGAGAAGTCATATGAAAATCTTATTCTACTATAATATGCATCTCGTTGATAATGAGCCAGTTTGAGCTTCCTTCATGAATTTCGATTTTCAATGAAGTCACTCTTACGCCCTCAGTGAAATCGACCCGTATAGTACCGCGTTCACTAAAGCGTGCTATGGAGGTGAAGTTGTCCTCATTCACTTTCTTCAGCAGCACTTCTGCACTTTCATTCAATATGTCATGTTGATGTTCGGGATTACCAGTACGAACAACAATACCTTAAATAGTTTCACGTAATTGACAATAAGGAAATGTATCGATTAAGAAAAGACAAGGTTAACGAACCGATTAAAGTAATAGCAGAATAAAATTCGAATAATATATAGTCTTGAGCGACTGGAGCAAAAGCCCAATAATAATTGCTGCCGGTATAAGCATTTTCAATATCTGAAAAAAAAATTTCCGCAACATCGAAAAAATATTTTCCAACCTTAATTCTCAGCTCTTCTTACGATACTAAAGACCAACAACGTTACTTGCTTGCACATAAATCCATCAGATAGATACAAATTTTGAGGAATGGCCAAATTGCATGATTTTTCAAAAGCATAAACAGTAGTTAGTAGTGAGCAAAACATTTAAAAGATTCCCTTTAATTTTATAGTGGAAAGCAAAAGACTCACCAAAAAGCATGTAAGTTTTAAGTGTTGTGGTAATCTTAGCAGGAGGATTATCGCGATGTGGTATATAAAGTTCTGCCTTACCAAAATCTCTTTCCCGTAATTTCTGCACTTTGCCTGCCAGCGAAGAATGAACACCTATATGCTGGAAAAGAGAGGGTCGATGACGAATTCTGTGCTGCTTCGCAATCTGGAAAAAGATAAAGATACTTATAATCGTAAGACAAAGCTAAAACTTTTGTCAGTAACACTTTACTCCATCACTGCGGTAAAATTGAAGATTGAAAGAACCTTACTTTCGCAATGTTCTCGTAACACTGAAGTAAAAGACAAACAAACCGAATCAGCTATGTCAACATATTTGAAATGTAGAAACTCAAGTTCATAGCAGTACTGGATTCTAGTAAATATGTCATTCTAGAATGATGTATGTGCCTTCACGTAAATAAAATTCTTGCCGAAAATTTAAATTTGCCGAAATTTCAAAAAAAACCACAGCACAATTTCACAGCAATTTTCAACATATTTTCAACATAAGTTTTAAAAAAATAACGTTATCAAAAATGCTCTAAAAGAACTCCCAACACAATCTCTTCATGCATACTAACTGATTATTTGCATTTAAAAAAGATTTTTTATAAATTATCTGCATTCACTGAAAAAACCCTCAGAAATATACATTTTGATCCACATAACAATATTGCAATAAAATTTCAAATTGTGCTGTCAAGAAGCCTTAATTGCAAATAACCAACATACTTCATAATTGAAAAGTTAGAAGCAAACATGGTCTTCGTACACTGTTTTTTTTTAATAATAAAAAAGATACAGTAGCAAGCAGTACACCCTGCAATTTCTAAAATGCAACTGGTAACCAAAATGAAAGAATCAATCAAATTTCGATTTTATCGAAATACGTTCTGGAAGTTATAAGGACGAATGCAGCGTTTAGAAATGAAATCGCACACATGCACTTATGAACTATCCCGCAAGAGTTTTACGAAACACCCTCTGTACTACATACTGTTACGATATTTAGTATTTTATGATATATAAACCTCGGCACAATGCTTAACCGACTTCTCCGGATGGCAATATCGATTTATAAACAACAGATCTAACAACCAGTCCACTGGTTTCTCTCGATGGAACATTGCGATAAACTGTAGTAATAATGTAAGATCGGAGGCTCGAAAAAGTTTCCCAATGAAGCCTAAAGATGAAAACTCGAGCATGAGCCAATCATCGGTTATTCTTCTATCAATAAACTCTTTGATGCGACTGACAAATCCAGCTTTTGCGAGCACATCATCCTCTAATTGTAAATAATATTTACCTGAAACAATACTTCATCTAAAATTCTTTACTCATGAAATTTTGGATAGTCTTGACCAAAACTTTAATATCAATATATTTTGGCTGAAATTCACCTCGCTGCTGAGAGTATAACATCAGATACATATAATCTAGATTCTGTTTCGTACGCCAGTACATTCGCTCTGCAGAGTCGTTAAAAGTAGGAGTGACAGAATATAAATCTGAATACCACTCATTAGGAGGAACAATAACCTGGAAGAAAATCTTGTGATAGGAACGAGAGACTACTTCTTTATTGTGTTCAAGTTAAACAAGCAGAAATAAAGAGAAATCAAACTGACAACTTTGATGTGTTTTGAAGACATAAGTCAGATTTTAATTCAACTTATATAAGACAAGGAAAAAACATCTTTTTTCTGGATATTGGTATAATTTCTTATTACTGCGGTTTAATTGTATACAAGAACAATTTTTATCGAAAAATTATGCTAAAAGAAATTTGAAATAAAACATACTGTTAGTAAACCGGAGTTTAGTTCGGAAGGAAATTCTGATTGCAATGAAGTGCACTGATGCCTCACGAATGAAGAACTGGCACCTTTGCCATCAGAAATAAGAACAACAATGGTAACCATCTCAATTTCACTGCTTGTTATTCCTCCGATCAACGACTGAAGCGTAGGTATCAAGTAAGACTGCTAAAAATAAAAGTATCTTATAAATTATTTTAGTAATAAATTTATTTATTCTGGTGAAAAAATTTATTTATTCTGGTGAAAAGAAGAGAGCAGACTGATAAAATGTTGTAATCTGCCATTTGAAAGCTAGAGGATCTCAACGACCACATACATTGAGCCGAGCAACTGTTGGTATGCCAATAACAAGATCCGTTTTTGTCATCCTTGAAAAATTACTCGGATAAATTAACGCTGGATACAACGCGCTGTTTGGAAGAGTATAGAGATGAGGCAAGAAGTCGAGAAATGTTGGTAGCGACAGTACCAATTCCTGAAAAAAAAATTACCGAAAAATTTTAAACACGTTTACACTTTTTAGCTTAATTTGCTAATTAATTTTTAAACAAGTATCCAAGAGAAACTTATGTTGACTTCACCTATCCCATAGACGAACTACAACCTAGTTTTCAATTATATCACCTTTTCGACAACTTTTACTAATTCTATGAAGCTCTGACTATATAAGGAAGAGTGAACATTTGAATGATAAATAATTAATCTTTACGCGTAAGTCAATAATCATGAACTTCCCAGAATTTGAAAAACTAATTAATCGACTAGCAATTTCTTTTCCCCTCTTTCATTTTTCAAACTAAAATATAACTATGACATTCACAAAGTTTATGATTTTCAGACTGAAAAAGATTTCATATGAGCAATCAGTTATTTATGGAAAATATGAGTAACAACAGAAGAACTTCACTTACCTTTGAATCATTAGCCAGCAACTTTGGAAAATTATTACATAGATAACACTCCCGATCTCGATCCTCCAGCAACATTTGGGTCTAAACTATTTATCTTGTTATACAACATGAAAGTTTTTTTTAGGAAGGTCAGAAATGATTGGACTATGTATCAAAAAAACCTAATATGCCCGGCAGCTTCCAAAAGCAAAGCTGAAAGAAAACAAAAATAAATAGGTACGTGTGACGTGAGTGTGCATGCAAAAATCATTTTTTGAATCATAAAAGAAATAAGACAAACCTTTTTCAAGTCGTTTTGCAACCTGTGTAATCGACTTTCGAAATTTAACCGGATGTTGTGATTCAACGCATCGTTGTACTTACTCAGTGAGTATACAGTAATACCGATTAAAAACATTACAATCCATAATGTCAAAAGCAATCGACGCAGCATATACCAACGTACAACCATCGCATACTGTCCTCAACTCTGCATCCATACTCCATGGCTAGTTAAAAACATGCAGGGCTCACACAAACCATCCATATCGCTCCACCTCTTATCACTTCAGCCAACCACGAAGTGCCATATGATCGTGATAAACGGCTGAGTTAAGTGAGGTTTGATGTCTTTTGTTAGAATACATAAATACAACGATACGATGTGTGAATTGATGTAACTAAACTGCCATTCTTTCAGCTATCCCAAATTATTACATCTTCATCGATCAAAGAAGCGCTAAAGAATGGAGCAGGTATCGTTGCATGAGAGACCCGAAAAAGTACCACACTTCACGTAATCTGTGTGGAGAGGACGAGAAATCTAATGGTTGGAAAGGCAGGACAGATTTGAAAGGCCATATTTTCTGTTTAGGGAATAAGCCGTGTCCTGCATCTGACCCACTAGCTCGCAGTTCACCATTCTGTTCAATTCTCCTTCCATCATACTCAATGTCGTAACGAATGATCTCGGATATGCATTGAACAAACGACATTAGAGCGGTGATATATCTTTCTGGGTTTGTCTTCACACAAGGATGGATAGAAAGAGTAGTACTTACACCTATTATTAACCTCACACTATTGGCGCTATCAAAGATCTTTTCTGTTAAGGGTTTAACGTTTGGAATTGATTGCATTTTTGCAGCAAGAATAAAGCTTCTGCTGACTTAGCTACCTTACATTCCGGGAAACGTCCTACTGTTGAGTTGGAATTCCAGTGAATGAAATCAGGTACTTAATAACCTATCTCAAAAATCGTGGAAAAAACAATATGCCCGAACAGTCAGAGCAGCTAGATACTACATATAAATTTTTGCGCGCAGATTTCCATTTAACATTTCTCTGCTCAAAATAAAAAAACGCAGTACTGTGTCCAATTTCTCAGGCCTTCTCCACTTTATTTTCTCAACTACATTGTGTTTCCAGAATGCCTAACAAGTTCGCAAGTTTACAATCGCTGTTTTTAATTAGAGTTTGTAGCGGTGTTACAAGGAATGCTCCACTGTCTCTTGGAACTTTGTATATGAATAACCCTCGTGCTACAGCTGATCGGAATAAGAGCTGGCTTACTTGTAGAGTCGCATTATCAACCTTACATGCTTGTTAGGTCATAATTTTAGGAAAACTACTCAATTAAATCATAAATAATAGCTGGGCCTCTTTTTCATCAGCTTCACAAAAAATCTTGAAGAAAACAAACTTCGTTCTGGCTTTACTGTAATTTATGGAATCCAATCTAGTTTTTTTCTTTCACGAAGTATTCCCATAATCGCCCTACCCTGGCTCATATTAACTGTTATGCAGCAAACATTCTTGAAATCGTAAAAAAAAGCTCTTTCGTATTGGCTAAGGTTCTACAGTGTTGTTTAAGGCAGTTGTTTTTCTAGCATTACTGACATCGTGGCAGTCCTCAACACCTAACCGGCCACAACTCACGATTAATGTCAATCAAGTTTGTGTTTTACTGCGGCCGCAATATTTATTAGTATCTCTGCAGCTACAAAAGATTTCAATGGAAAATCATAAAAAAGAAACTAGAACGCTAAAATCAGACCTTCTACGTTCTGCAATATTACGACTAAAGTGATTTTGTAACTAAGTGGGCTATCACAGGGGGTAAAAAAGATTATGTTGAAAAACATAAGAATCTATATCTCATAATGACATACCTCCATCACATGTTGAATGCAAAAGGATGCAATAACGTAAATGAAAGAACAATGAAAAATGGGAAGAAAAGGCAATGAGGGATGAAATTAAGTTAAGCCATACATGGGAAAAATCCTTTGACAATTCCTTATATCTTATGTCTACTAACAAGAAATGCCTCACGGCTTCACTTTTTTCTCTCTGCACATGAAATAATGAGTTTTGCCAGAATTACCCACTTAATATCAACCAGCTCTGCTGAAGCTTCCAAAATGAAGGTTTGTTAGTTATTATTTATTTGTCGGTAATGTAGTAAAAGTTACGATGTTCTATATAATGAAATAATAATAATATTCGAAATGGACACAGAATAAAGAACTAAAGCGATCTGTTAACACGATTTTCTATCAGCTGATAAGATTGAATCAGTTGATACTGCATTCGATGAAAAAAATAATAAAGCAGAACCGTCACTCAAAACTATTTGGACCATTGTCAAACTTGCTTACTGTCATTAACATCATAATTAAAGGCAAGTAGAGTAGAGTGTAATGAAAAAGTGTTCTCGATGTCTTTGCATCTGGGTGCCGATAAAATTTATAGGATAAATAAATCAGTAAACCATTGAGTGGAAGTGATTCGACAGCAAAAAACCATTTCGTCAAATTTGCTGAGGGCGCTCCCAACGAGCAAAGCAGTAAAATTACCACTGAATACCTAAAACGCGCAATAAGATCTTAATAAGAATACTTGACAATGGCTATAACAAGAGGGAGAAGGTTATGACGAAATGAAAAATTTTAGTGAGACTGATAATAAGTGAATATCACCTGAGCGAAGTGAATCGACAAAGTCTCTGATTAACTGCACACATGACCCGATAGCCAGCGCGAGTATAATCGGCACGTAGATTCCAACTCAGTGCATTGAAATGAGGGAATTGCCAGCAATATAATAGAGCGGCTAGCACTAAAGAAGCAGGCTGGATAGATCCTGTGGCGCCAGCATAACCCATTAAAGGTGGCATGGCACCCACAACTGCTCCAACCCACGTGCACCCAATGCTGTAACGTTTCATTGGCGTATACACACCTATAAAAACCTCGTGTAGAGGCAAATAACAGCTGAAGTGCATCATAAATTTGCAAGACTAAAAACGATCTCTTCCAAATAAAACGATTTTAAAGATGAAAGCAAAAAGGTCGTAAGAAATGAAAAGAATAATTGAACCTGCATATAAAAAAGCATTGAGTAAACCAAGTGCTGCCGTTAATGAATTACAACCAATCCATAATGTTGCCATTCCAATCACTGCTGTTGACAATGCAAAAGCAACGGCATGAAAGGGTGAAAATCTGAAAAGATGAATTTCATTCATAAACCATGAATCTTATCAGTCTGAATATGTCATAAAATCAGTTTCTTGTTATAAGATTCAGTTCTTGGGAAAGTTGAAAACGAAAATATGCATCGATTGGTAATCCCAAACATTGGAAAGCTGCACGTTCTCCAGGATTACAGTTTATATCCAAAAAACACACCAAATTTCGCGTAGTGCAACATACTCTACCACTACCCACTAACAAAACGACTTGCCACTAATGCCACAATAATCAACCTGTGGACAACAAGCAGTCTACTTTGCGTCCTTCTCATTTGAGCATCATAAGGTGTCTCCAATAAATGATTGAAGGTATTTGCAGATGCACTTAAAAGTGCTGTACCGACAGTGCAAGTCACCAATGGGCCTAACGACAAATCAACTGGAGCCATTATAAAACCATTAATGGTTGTTGTAGTTACCATTGCTGTGAGTTTTGCCTTGGAAAGCTGCAAAAATTCATTGATAACTGAAAGTAATTCATTAAAGTGAAGCAGCATCTGAAGAAGCGAGATATACTAACAGCAAAGAAGGAATGATTTTATACATGTCATTTTCCGGAAATAGCGGTACGAAAAGCAATATAAGTACAAATTGGTGCATAGAAAAGTGAATTACGCAGCACACAACAGAATTACACGAATCAAGCAGACCTGTAAGTAAGACTTCAGCAGACCGTTTTGTTGTATAACATACCAGCCATCTTCTGGTGTTGGTCTGATTACTAGTTTTAGCCTGCGTTCATAACTTCTTGACTCTTCTGCCCTCGCAAAATCCAAAGGGATAATCTTCTCTGCTCCTGTGCATAGCTTTGGCAGTGCTGCCGTGCCGCGCTTCCAACTAACATTTGGCAAATGTGAACCGCAAAGGCGACAAACGAGGTGAGATGGAAGCAGCATGAGCTGAAAAATTAGATAAAACTATTAGCTCACTTTGCTGATCAGTTGGAAAAAAAGTACCAAGGAAAAGGTCATGTGCGCTACATCTACATCATTTCCATTTATGAGACGCCATACCTCTCCCCCAACGTTCTCCTAGAGGGAAGACGACTTAACAAGGATGAAATTACTTTCAAAAATAGGCCACTAGTACAAAAAAGCTCAAGAGTAGACATGCAATATCCTGTTAATAGATCACTTGGAAGGAATAAATCTCTTCTTCGCCTAGTTATCATTCTTTCATATTGAACTTTGAAAATAGCCGTACAGTTTCTTACTGGAAACTCCATAACCTTCAAAAGTCTTATTCCGAATGCTGGAACGTATAGTTGCCTTCTTAACTAGCTGAAGCACCTTTGATCCTTAATAAAACAAATAAGACAGAGAAGTAAGCGTTAGCGCTACTTGTGCAATCGCCTTTAAAAACACAGCCCTTATTTGCTTAGCCAGCAACAATCAGTTCCAACCTAGAAGTGACCAATAACATAAACAACAATCAAACCACTGCAAATTAATAACTAATTTAATCATCTATCATCTAACCTCGAAGAAGCACAATCACTGTACAGGAATGATAGGTCATACAGAGACAACGAAAAAGTCTAAGAGTTTTGTCACATTATTTTAAACCTAACTCGAAAATTTGCCAGCTATCGATACCAATGAATGCAGCTAAGAAGGAATGGGAGAAATTTATGAAAATTCTAGCTCATCTCGTCCCTGGGGAAACTCCCCGTTCTGTGGCTTCCGCCTCCTCTCAGAAGAACGAATAAGCCTAACGATCGAACAACCTCGTGTCGTTTCCCTCGCATTCTCATTCCTCATCCACGAAATTCCAGTTGCACTTAACATCATCGTTATCCTACGGTTGGACGCTGTTCAGCACTGTAATTGATAGTATTGATGAGTGCGGTCGTTTTGTTTGTTACTGTCACCATTTTCGTGTCAATTTATTGTACGCTTTATCTTCTGTAGATGTTTTCGTGTTAATAGGAAGATTAGAACATTCACTGAGCTCTTGCATATATATTTAGCCATTGTTTATTTTATCATGTATTTTAATTGCAGAAGACGAAGCAATGGCCACGGATACGAAAATTCGCGATGTTATTTGTCTTAGGGGATCGGCACAACTTATTCAGGAATTCTTTTGTGAGCTTTTGGCATTTTGCATTTTTGGCGACCTAGAAGTTTAATTATTTTAAGTTTTAATGATTTACCCATAAACATCACGTCTTTCTCTTATCTTGACTTAATAGTTTCTAACATTAGCTCCAACTGTCTGGAATTTTAAGCAATTTAAGAAACGATGGAAGATCACACTAGTTGCAGACTAGCAGTCTCATTATTTGTTGAGAAGCTTTTCAGAAATTCGTAAGACCGTAATTTTTATTTCATTAAAAACTTGCTTGGAGCGACTGAAATGGTGTCGGAACTAGACATTTCTCTTCTTCCCCTGCATTCCTCATCATTAAAATCAGAAATTTCGCTTGTGTTTCTCACTTTTCACGCCTACCTTTCAACATATTTCATGATGAAAGAACCTTTAAAAAATTTTACTTCTCAAGCCGTAATTTACTACTAATACCAACTTAATACTTATTTAAATAAAATGATTTTATAGATTTTGGTCTTAATAACATTCTTTACCTGCGGGGTATATATCCTGCAGATTCTTTCGAGAAGAGAAAAAAGTACGGACTCACCATGCTCATTTGTAAAAATCCAGAACTGGAACAATATTTGAAGCCACTCTTAAAGCAAGTGAAATGTAGGTTCTTTTCTTTTAAATCTAAGTTTCACTCATTATTATGGATCAGCTAAATCACATTTCTATTCTCGCTCGTAAGTTCAAAGAAAAATTGATAAGTAATATCTAACTTTTGCGCTTGCCTGAAATATAACATTTCTTGTATGACCAGTCCGTTTCATCTCCTTTCTTGTTTCATTTATTGAAATTCATTAACTTCGATAAGGTTTTGACGTCGTCATTCATCCCGTTCGCTTTTCTATTTTTTAATAAATTTTTTTAAAGCTTCACTTTCCTTTCAGAAAGTGTTCACTTGTTTGTTTAATTACTCTATTTCGTGAGCAATGATGCCATATTGCATTTAGCAATACTCTTAGATATTATGAGTTTATGTGCAGATTTTTGTATTTGAAGTACGGCATGTTATTTGATTCCACCTAATTTTTTTAGTGAATAAAGAATACGTATTTACTGATATACTTTTGAGTAGGGGATACGGTCTCTAAGTTATCGATGAGAGCGAGCTGTTACAAGTTACACCGGATGGGAAATGTTTTAAGCATTTTCAGTATGGTGATTTTCCAGATTCATTTAGCTAATATTCAGAGAAATAAAGTGTTAAAGTTGTAATTTTAACAAAGTGTATCATAAGCAATGGATCCTTTATTAGGCCATTAGATTGGTAATTGTATTGAACACAGTTCTGTTTTGTTTGTGATTTGTCACTGGCAGCATTAAAGGTTTAAATTGTCGTAATTTTCTTTCAGATTGGTTGGAAAATAAGCAGTTAAGGAAACTGATTATTGCGGTCGCAAATATAGAAACTAAACATCCAGTGGAGCGATGGCAATTTGACATTGAAACAGAAGAAATTATTAAGCAAAATGGGTATTTTAATATTGTTTGTTTCGTTTCTTTCCTGAAAGAAAATTTTGTGAAAAAAAAAACGAAATTGTCTAAATCTATGATGACATTCCTTTACTTTATCATTTCCTATAAATTTTTGACAGAGGTGAAGGGGATGTAATGTTAGAAAGGGAGAATGGATAGCTTAAACCAGAAACCTGATTTGTTATTGGAGTAGCAGAAGAAATGGACCTGCAAATTCCCTTTTTCAGTGAAAACTCTACCAAAGAAAAGCATGAAGGGAAAATCAGACAGGAGATGGCTGAAGTGATGAGGTTAGATTTTGATCAGTTCCACATTAAAAAAAATTTCTTGTGATTTTTCTGAGAAATTTTAGAAATTTGCTCGTTATTTTTTTCTTCCAGGCAAATAACAGCCTCGGTAACGTTCCTACCATTACTTGAATCACCGTGTTCGTTTGATGTGCTCATTTATACTGGTAAGGAGACGGACACACCGGAGAACTGGGAAGAAACTAGTGCCTGTTCAATTCTTGATGCCGAACAAGTGGAGTTCCGCTCTTTCTCAACGGCGGTACATACAGTGCATACGAAAGTGTGTTATAAACCTTTCTCGTAATGCAATTGTTTGCACTATCTTCTGTTTCCCATTTATGGATCAGTATCACTGTAGAAGTCAATGGAATCAGTTTTGTAACACTGGTTGAAATGATCCAAAAATTTTTTTTGAATTCATAGTTTATCGATATCAACAATATTGAGAAGAAATGTTATGGAAGAATCACTTAGATGAAAAAGCATCGCGTTTTCTCCTACCTCCTTATTCGTTTATATTTTTGCCGGTTTTAGGAATAAATTGAATAAAAGTTTCATGATGAATAAAAGCTTCAATTTCATATGGTCTTCATTGATTCGCTTTTTGTATTTTGTGGATTTCACTTGACTTATTTGTCCAAAGTGTTAAACGTCTTACTTAGCATATTATAAATGAAGGTAGATATTACAGAACTTATTGGATTTGTCACTGAACATTTGATAAATTGTGATGTAATTTGAAATGTCTTAAAAAGTGCCGACACTCTACGAGATTGAGGAATGCCGACACGGCGTAGAATTTGTGGAAAAAACTATTATACATTCACAAAAGTCGGAGTCAAGGCTTATAGCTTCAAATTATAGATCATGGTGGGATCATTGTGATCGAGCCGATCGTAAATGACTTCTCAAAATGTTACATAGATCTAATTTTGTATAGTCTCACAGTCAATGAAGGAGTTGCGTGAGCTGTTGTGCAGGATTTCATAAACAGTCTACTTTCCAAAAGATTTGTACATTGCTGATTTGCATGAATATAACTGTTATAATTTTACTAAGAGACGATATTATGTCTGTGTAAAATATTTGGAAGATGCACACTGGAGTATAGCCTTACAAACATAGCTGCAATGTGTTTATGAACTTTGCATGTCATGTGTTTTTGTAACCGTGCTTCTCACTTCATGAACTTGATTTCGAACTATTAACTGTAGTAAAACGATTGTGGTACTTCGACGGATGATTAGATATGGCGTTAACATTACCTTATTAGTATCACTGCGAACGTTAAACTCAAAAGGCAATTGTTCAAAGAGATTGATATACAAACTCACTATTTTGTTTCAAAAGATTTATTAACCTTTTCAGAATGAACAGTATAATAAATCGCATCCTTTCGGGGTTCAATTCAGCTGACTATGGCTTGCCTGCCGACTTTTTATTGACAAAGTTAACACAAATGAAGGGTTGTGGATGTAAAGTTCCGAGAACAGTAGGTTTTTTTCCATTTCTTGTTATGATATCGTCTGCATTTCATCATTATGTGCTTTGTGTGGAATGAAAGAATAATTGATAACTGAGAATGTGAATATATTGCGATTTGATTTTCCATAGGTGAGACAAATCTGGGATTTGGTTCGAAATAGTAAACACGACCAGATGCATTAGGTAAGATTCAAGAATTTATACAGCAAAAGTCATGAAAGCCGTTCTTAAACGGATAGAATGGTTGGAATTACATTAACAAGAGAAAGTATTTCGAAGTTGTCAGTGAACGTTTGTTTCTTCGTTATTGGTACATCAAATACCAAAACGAAAGTTTTTACAAATTTCTCATCACTCATTTTGCTGGAAAACTGACATGTTTTTTCAGGTTTTGTTGGAACTTTTGAAAGATTTGAAAACAAATGACAAAGGCGATGAGAGAGATGGGTTTTAATATTCATATTTGCCATTTTGACATTTAGTTCACCTCAGACATGATGTTTAATCATTTGTAAATCATTTGTAGGTATCGGACTGGATAGCTGTGTAATTCCTTTGCGACACCAAGGCTTATTTCTCGTCCAGACGACAGATTTTTTCTACCCTCTCGTTGATGATCCATACTTAATGGCGCGTTTCCCTTAGTTTTTCTCCATTTTTCTTCGTATTTTTTTAAAAATATCATGTCATTAATAGCTTGAAGATTTTTTGCAGGGCAGGATTACATGTGCAAATGTTTTGAGCGATTTGTATGCGATGGGAGTGGTTGACTGTGACAATATGTTGGTCTTACTTGGTATACCCAAAGATATTAGTGATAACGAGCGGGACGTTGTTGCCACCAATTTTTTCGATGGTTTTAAGGTTTTCAATTACAATATAGAACTTCTTCAACTTTGAATTTAACTTAATGCAACTAAAGGTTGAAGCAGAAAATATAGGACTAAAAAGCAATGTTAAATTTTCGTCAAGCTTGCAGGATACTGCAACAGAAGCTGGTACCGCCATCAGAGGCGGTCAGACAGTACGTTGTCCTTGGCTGCTACTAGGTGGAGTAGCTACGAGTGTGTGCAGCACTGATGAAATGGCTACGGTTGATGGAGCATGCCCTGGTGATGTTCTATTGCTCACCAAAGTAATCTTATTGTCCTCTTTCATTTTTTTTTATTTCACGTTAAGGTTGAATATTTTTAAAATAGTGGTATTGTATGCATTTGGTTAACAATACTGTTTGAGATTTCTTAATATGAATTAGTAAAATACTATCAAGCCTAATCAGATACCATCGCTTCAATAGCGGACTCCTACGACAAAAGTCTTGGTCCATAACCTAGCACTATAATGTGTAATATATTCCTTTTCCACATTGCGATACTACTCTGACAAACTCGACTGCACCGCACAGTTTGAACCAAACGCTGATTGCGACGAATTGTTAAAATCCTATCTGTTTAATGCATTGTCTTTATTAGTAAGTTTTCAGCCACTTGGAGGCCAGGTGGCAGTAAATTCATATGAATGGCTCAAAAGAGGAAATCCCCGTGTGAAGGAGCTGAAATTAGATGGGGCAAGAATTGTGCGCGCATATCAACAGGTCGTTGAACAAATGTGTCGACTAAATAGAAATGCTGCACGCATGACTCTAAAGTATAGCACCCATGCTTCAACAGATGTAACCGGCTTTGGAATTCTAGGTTTATTTTACTATAATTTCTTGCCTTATTTTTGAACTTTTTTGTGCTGAATCTGCCTGAGAAAAATAAAGACAAATTCATCTCCTTTACAGGACATGCTGACAATTTGGCGAAAGCGCAGAAGGCGGAAGTGCAATTTATTATTCATACCCTGCCTATAATCGATTACATGGCCGAAATCTCAAAAACAATGGGCAATGGTTTCAGTCTATTCAGCGGGACATCTGCGGAGACATCAGGCGGCCTCTTAATTGCTGTGGAAAAAGAGAAGGTTGTCATTTCTTTGATGCATTGGTTCTGAAGCGTAACTAACTGCACCAACATTCAGGCGGAACAATTACGCATCGAACTGGAACAGCTTGATGGATTCCCAGTATGGCTTGTGGGCAATGTCATCAGCGGCTCACGTGGTGCTGTTATTGCTGAAGATGTAAAAATCGTCTCTGTAGCTTCAAAAATACACCCTGTCTAACACTTTTTACTTCATGTATGTACATTCCTATGCTTTGTTAGCTTTTTGAACGTAAATTTACAATACATTGCACATTATCTTGCAATATTTTTTATGATGACCCGTCATCTGTCTTCAGTTAACATCGAACCAATGGAATTTCATATGTATAGCATTCTATTATAAAAAACAATTAGACAAAAAACTGTTCTATAAATCTTCTTCGCGTTCAATCTTGAGCAACTCGATATCGAATTTCAAACTGGCATCGGCTGAAAGTAATAAAATTCTAAACAAACAGTAGCAGAATGCTTACTATCAGCGCAATCTAGAGACCTGATGACTGATGATTTATGAATTAAAATGAAATTTACGACTTCTAAATTTACACCACCGCATGTCAAATAAATTTACTTACGTGGAATTTTCGGCGGAGAACCGGAACTGCCATAAGCTAGATCAGATGGGATTGCGAGGCGGCGTTGTTCACCTTCACACATGTTCAGTAATCCTTGGTCCCATCCCTTAAAGCACTTTTTTGGATGAAATAGAGTTCCACTACTACAACATCCCAAGCTCTATCACGAAAGCAGTGAGATTTGTAAGATTTAAAAAATGAGTTTCGAACCCTAAGTTGTTAGTCCTCATATCTATCGTGCTTAGGTTTCTGGGATTTTCACTCTGATATATTCGTGCCCGAAAGACTAACAGGACTTCGGATAAGAATTGACCTTTATTTTTAGATAATTCCTTAACATCTTCATTATATCGAAGCAGTTAAAGAAAAATAAAATGCAATCCAGCAATGTACAGAAATAAGAACTCCCGATAGCACGAATATTAACTAAGAATGTGCAAAGATACTAATATATGAAAATTTTTTGCAAAGAGACATAATTCGACAACAGACGAAAGACAATGGAAAAAAAAACTTGTAATGGACAAAGGTGACCTAACAGTGGGAACTGATATTTTTGATTGGTTGATGTTATTGATAAGACAGCAGAACGATTCACAAATAAAGAGTACGAATAATGAAACACTTACTTTAATGACTTGTCCCATGCCCAGCGTGAACATAAATGGCTTATTGCGAGATCGGCTATTATCGAACTCAGTACCATCTTCTAGCATTCCCTAAATTACCGAACAGACTGCAGCAGACACACTTCGTTAAGTAAAACATGAGCTCCGCGGAAGCAAACTTACCACGTAGTGCACATTCAGAGTGTCCCCCTTTCTTGATCTCATCTCACAGTTGTCGACACGTTTCTTGACTCCTATTTGCAAACGAGCCAATTCCCTGTCATTGCAACAAACCACGACCAAAACCAATAATATAGAGATAACGTTGCACTTCAACATTTCATGAACTACAGCTTTAGTTAGATCACCTTCAAATGTACAGTTAAAATATTAATTACATTTTACCAGGCGTGAAAAATTCATAAACTGCTGCTGAATGCTTTAGTAAAACCAATAAGCGATTACACAGATCAAAACTGAAGACTTTAAAGCTGTACAAATTGGAAAGAGAATTTTTCATACAAATGAATTTAAAAAATACAAATGAAAGCTATAAGTGAAATGAAATACTCGAACACTGAAAACAATGGAATATAATACGAAACCGCTAAAAACACTAATATAAATGGTGAATAAATGACAAAAAATTCCGTTATGCATCATCATATTGCAGTACAGGAATGCTGACACGAGAAATAATGATATTGCAGCTCATTATAGTCCAAAACCATGAAAGTCTTATTAATTTATTGAAAGCAATTGACTACACCAATTACTATATCTTCTGTAAAAGCATTTCTGTCCCTCATTTCACTGTTGTTTATCAACAAAGCAGTGTTGTCAAGTGTATGAAAAGTCACACGATGCAGAGAAAGTTATGCAAACTCACACATTCACAACCTCATGTCTGTTAGGCAGCTATTTTAAAAACTTTTTCCTACGATCTTAAAAGATTTCTAAATGTCACACAGAGTCTTTCACTGTGCACCACCAATTGCATTTGTAATACTAACTTCCCAGAACTGAAAGCTAGCGGTATAATTCTTTAATTATTCCACTTAAAAGAGTGGCGTGTTTGTATCACCTTACAAATGAAGATTATGAAAAAACACTGTGATGAGGTAAAAAATCATACTGATGAAATGCACATTACTACCGTCGCAAATTGCTTATTCACATTATTTTCCTTCCTTTCCTCTATTTTAGTTGTTTATTTTAACCGTCTTAATGATTTCAAATGTGACGATGTGAGTGCTTTCTATACCACAACCTTCAACAGAAACAAAGCATATCCATAAAGTTTGTTGTAACCTAAAATGATAGATATGAAGGTTTTCAATATAAAAATTAATATGAAATCCTAAAAAAATCTTACAATAACAAGTGATAATATTGGTTTTTCGCAGTGACAAGTCTGCATCCAGTGGGTCCCATTCGATTTTTCCAATTTATTGTAAGAAGGCAACGAATATATTGGCAAGCTTAAAATCTGCTTGCTATGAGTTGCAGAGATAATAATGAATAGTACAGTGGACGAAGATGAAGGAAAATGTACATCCACGTCAGTCAAGATCATTGCCTACTGGTTAATAGATTATTGCGAAACCTCACACACATTTAATCACATATTTCTCCACTTTTCGAAAAATCTTTCGCTCGTTCACTGTACATCTGCAAATTTGTCTACGCTCGTTTTATAATTAATCATGAGTTAGCAGTAACTAACATTTGACAATACTGCATAAATCAGTTCTTCATTAAATACTAGATTTTTAGAATATTCACAAGTATGTCTTGAACGCAGTGATATGTTCGAAAAACTCCACAAAACTTACATCTTTGTCTGACTTGGGAAGTGACTTCCAGACTATTGCCAATTCCTTGATGATGTCCTGTTGCTTTTTACCAGTGTCAGCAGCTCCTTTTACAGCTTTCTCCTTCACAAAAAGCATCCAGCCTGACATCGGCCTCTGACCGTCACTTTCCCGCTTCTACAGTTAAAACATACTACAATTTCAAAAGTCTGCTTTGTTCCAGTCAATTCATATATCGTCTATCTTTCGCCAAAAAAAGCTACGCAAACTCAGTATCTGTCCCTCTAAATGTTAAAAAAAATATCGTTGGACGCACTTTCCTCCTTTCCAAACGTATTTTTCGTTTTACACGAGCCTCCTTCAAATTTTTAGCCCGTCTACGGAGCTCTTCTTTCTCAGTTTCACTCATCGCTTCGAATTTTGATCGTCTTTCTTCGTTTATCCGTAACGCCTCATCAACATATTTCTATAACCCACAAATCTGTTTAATCATTATTTATCACTAAAATATCTACAAGATACAGTGCATGTGTAATTTTATCTTAGATATTGTCTATTTTCTAGCAAAAACGTAAGCACAAATGCTGGAGTAGATTTCACCAGCACCAAAAATGAATGTGACGGTGTAAGCCAGGATCACAAGCAACAACTTCTCAGTAACTTTAACCAACAACATGTCGTTTCTGACTAGAAAAAGGTCACCTCGCAGATTTTTGGATGGATACAAGCTCAAGACTGCCACATTTCTGAAAAGTAATATGGTCTAATTCTTCTCTCTAAATTAGAAAAAAACAATAAGACACACCCCTTTGTCGGCCTCGTCCAAACTTTTCCACTGTTTGATAAGATTACTGAAAATTTTTGTAGGCTGTTCGTTTTTCCTTGATGCAAAGTTCTCCTTGATGAATAAACTTAACGGTGTTGTTTTACCGAATCCCGGAGGAAGGCGCTCAAGCTTTCCATGAGATCCTGCTCTTTTCACTGCAGGATAACATCTATAACAACTTACTAACACTTCCATAATTGTTAACTTCCTTCACTCTTTCATTTTTGAAAGATGATTAGATACCTGATGGCTGGAGTCCCTCTGGCCAAAAATATGTGGCGTAAGTTGCATATCAGCGAAAACATGGAACTGAGAATTGTTTACCTCTCGCACTGTTACCGCAGCAGTTCACCAAGAGCTTAAAAAATCAAATTTTCAATAATACTAATAAACCACTAGTTAGTTTATTGAATTGTATAGAAAAGTAGAAAAATAGCAAGAGTGCAAGCATAAACTAATAAATGTCGGTCAAATGATGAAGTGTACGATATGCTGCCTTAAAAGATACGGGTTATGTTTGCACTCTTGCTATTTTTCTACTTTTCTGTACAATTCAATAAACTAACTAGTGGTTTATTAGTATTATTGAAACTGACAACGTCATAGTTTGTAACATTATTTCTCATGCAAATATTATCAAAAAGCCACAAATAACTTAAAAATTGGTTTCTACATTCGACTGTGATCAGATAGTTTTTTGAAATATTTCAATTTATTGTAATTACCGACTCATTATGAGCATTTTCATATTGCATTTCATCCTGATTCATTTTAAATATCCTAATATGATGCTGGGAAGTCAAAAAAATGTGTTGTTGTTGCAGTCGGATGTAGGGAATGCTGTTTTGATTGCTTGGAAATATTCCAGACGTAGCACTCGAAATGCTTCAACAAACATTAATGTATGCCAGTATTTATTTTGAGAAAAAATGGCACGAGATCCCAAGCATACGAAGTGCATTACGACATTAAGCAACAAATATAAGTTACTATATAACAAGAAGGCACAGTGATAAATAATAATGGAGTCATTCGATTGCAAAATCCAAATGCTGTAAAATCTCCGACGTGAACATACTGCACAACAATGTAAGAATTAGAAACAGAATTTATATTCGTTGGAGTAAGTTAAATAAAGGTCGGAAAGATAACTGTACAGGTTAATGACCTATGTCTCTGGCTGCAAACTGCGCAGATTATCAAGAGTATTAGTTGTAATAGTAATATCCTCTTCTAATGCACACAGTACTGGAATTCAGTCCGTAGTAAAAGAGTCCAACATTTCCTTTCCTTTATCTCACACCTATTCTAACCCACAATCTACTGACCGCTACCCCATTCCCAACCCTTCCAGTCGGAAATACAATTCCAAAATAAAAGCAGTGGTGGCGTTGAGGGACCATAAGTACTTTTGTGCAACACTGATAGAGGTCTTAATGAAATGTTATGGCTATTGTAGTTGATTGGTACAGTATATTACAGAAACAATTGGTTCAAACGGAATGATGTAGAGGGAGAGCAAATGAGAAGTTTATCTTATTCCCAACACACTATTTTATACATTGTGATTACAAGTAATCAGTGATGGAAAACTAGATTATTACTAATAAGCTATTAATTGTAGGAATTCATATTAATTGTTTCAAAACTATTAACTCTACAACTTTTGATGAAATTACTGACTTGAGGAAAAAGAAACCGTCAGGCTCATGTATATAAAGACCCATTTACAGATGATAAAAGTGGGCAATTGGAAATAGAAGCAATAAATCAGAAAAAATAATCTCACGTTAATATACTTTGATACATAAGGAACTTTAAATAGCTTATGCAGTACTGTACTGAAAGTTGGGAAAGCAAGTTGTTTTTTGATCCTGTAATTTTCGCAAGAATTGAAATTCATAATGATGGGACAACCTTTCTAGGAATTAAAATTATTAAATATTAATTAAGAAAAACAATGTCCAGCTTATCATTGAAGAAATCAATACAATGAACATGAGATTTTAATAATTTACATTTAAAAAGTTCATTTGCAAAAACTTCGATAATACATCTTTTGGATAAATATAAGTCATTAAATATTAGTATATGAAGAAAAGATGCATTATTGAAGTGTCTGAAAGTCTGTTGTCGATAATATATTTGTGCAGAAATTTTGGCAATACATTTTTTTCTTTCGTGATCTTTATCTTATACTATCTTATGTCTTCTTTGGGAATATCGGTGATGTCAGAATATAAAGAAAGTAATTCGATCAAATAATTGACACTGAGTCAAGCAATACAAAGTTTAATTATGTGATAAATATGTACAGTAAAAGTGAAACTATCATAAATTAGCAGTTAAAAACAGTATCTGTTGATTGATGAATAGTTGACCTTGTTGACGTGTGGGTATGATGCTATTCATATCGATAGATATGAATAGACAAGTGAAGTGAGTGTAAGCATAAAGTAGCCACTCAAATTGGTTATTATTGAAGTATGACTTTTGTGACATATGGATTTAACTGACACGGATATGATATGCATGCGAATATGTGGACGAAATGGTATAATGGATGTTGCTGTGGTACAGATTGCTGTTAACTAGGTATATTGTCAATGAAGTGAATATAAATTATTGGATTATAGATGTGATCAGTGGTGTGTAAATTATTAGCGATGATGTCCAATGAAATAATGTACAACACATCGCGACAATCAATCAGTTTCTTTTTATCACCGTGTTATATTTCACAGTGTGTTTTACCCTTTATTGTTTCATACATTGATAAGAATGAAATAATTAAGCCAGAGAATAATCAGTAGTATAAATTCCCACGTGTGGATGTGTGTCAACATGAAGTGCGCATGTCTTGTCATTGAGGAATTTTAAAACAAGAATAAAGTATCATTAATGAAGAGATTTGAAGATGGTTGAAAAGGATATTGTTGAAAAGCACCATCAACAAATTGTGATTGGCCAAACGTTTGCCGAAGTGGGCGGTACGGGAGTGATTGAAGGATGGTGCACCAATAGACTAGTCTTGTCCGGACTTATGGCACTGAACGAGTTGCTTCTGCTTTTCCTTCCTATTGGGACCTACGCTTATATTTCCGAGTCATGGGCAATGCTCACGTCTGATCGACCTTCCTCACCAAAATGTGTGGACATACCCAGAAACTTGACGCTTTGTTACGGTATACAAGTAAGTAAGCACCACAGAAAACCATATCTGTCATTTTGTTATTCACAACATTTCTAATATAAAAGTAAATTCTTCATCACCGTCTAATATTACCTTAATGCATTGTTGATAAATTAATTAATAATTTTCAGTATTCAACAATGCGTTTACCAAATTTGTTGGAGCATGAAACAGTGGATGAAGTAATAGAGCAAGCAGCTCCATGGATACCATTACACCGGTTAAACTGTCATCCGGATACACAAGTCTTTATTCTTTTAATCTATATACGGTACACCAGAATTGGGTTTAGAATACACTGTACATTGCTTTTCATCAACTATGTTTCAGCTATTTCTGTGTTCACTGTTTGCACCAGTTTGTCTGGCAACAATGGACCGAGAAATATTGCCATGTCAATCTTTATGTACTGCTGTCCAGCAGGTTTCATTTGCTTGAACGTTATTGAATTCGAAGATGTCGTAGAAGAAATAGAAAGTGAAAAATGAACCATCAAAATGGAATTTCAGGGGTGTGAAAGCAGAATGAGGCAGTACGGTTTTCCATGGCCAGAAATGTTATCATGCAATAAATATCCAAAGGATAATGACATGTGTATCGGTGCTGTCTCGGAAAAGGCAACAAGTCTGCTTTCACTTGACTACTTCTAATGCGCAGCAATATATTGCATGTCCATCACTTATTTCAAATGAAATTATGAAAATGGGTAATGTGTAAGCAGTAGTTGCCTTTGGGGATTTGTTAGAAAGGTGGGACTTGGAATTGAGGCTGCTAGTGACAGGGTAGGCAGCAAAGGCAGGCGCAATATTACTAAGGGTGCCGCGTGTCGATGAGCTGTCAGGCGGCATTCTTTCATCGTTCACCGATTGATATCTCAGCTCGTCATATTTTCAGATCTTAGTGATACGTGTTCATCCTGCAGTCAGGTCAGTACATATGAGAATATACTCGATCATTATTGTCGATCTCAAATAGGTTTCCATTTCACATTCTTCTGCTTTTTGAAAAACCTTCTCTTCTTTAGTTTCATTTGGTCCTCCTTTTGTTCTCATTTCCCTCCTGTTATATAATGATTACGTTCAATTTCTACATACAATTCCATCCTGTTGCAGAATGCATCTTAAAATATTGCTGTTAGGCAACTATTTGAAATATGGGCTTCTAAAATAATGAACTGAAACGCTCCAAGTAACAAATTGAAATTGGGAAGGTTGGGAAACTTGGCTAAGAGTTCAACCTTTAATTATTTTTACCAGTTTGAGAGAATATTACAGTAGTGAAAGCACGAATCGGAGGCATCAATAAATCATATGTGAGTGTGCGGAAGGCACGATCGCTCAAGAGATCTGATCGGCGCAGGTCCCTTTTGTTTTCAGAGATAGTTTCTACAGTTTCTTCATTTAAAAATGTTTCATTTTACCACTTCTAAAACTTTTTTATGACTCATTCGATGTCTGTTTCCAAGCATTGAAGATCGAGATGCCTTATCAGGATGCAACCAACAGTAATTAATCACTAGAACTGGACAACACATAGCCACCAGTAAATTTAACAGTGGTTCCAGATGCGGTTCTAGATTACTTTATAAAGAGAAAAGAACTATTCATATGTAAATCAGAAGACTCTGTGGTTGAAAGGGACCTTCATGCGATAGAAGTAATACGGGAAGAGATAAATGGAAATTATTACCAGAATCAAGAAGACGAGAAAGTAAATTATTTTTCAGATCGGTAGGTCGAGATACAGTCATTCATTTTTCTGCCAACCGCGGGTGCCCTTGTCATTTCAGTGGAACAGGAGATCCACGTTTTCTCATCATGGCTGATCAGAATGATAGAGGCGATTTTATTGCAAACCTGATAATGCCCTGGAGAAATACCGAAAAGGTTAACAGCCTCATAATGAATGAATTACGGTTGAATTATAATAGAAAGATTTATGATAGCAGAAATGATTATCTTAGCTGTGTTTCTAAGATCTTTTATATGATTTTATATGTGGAGTGTCATTATATGGAGAAAAAGTATTGTAAGTGTTAAAGTGTTGTAATCATATAAAAGATCTTAGAAATTTAATGTTAATAGTGTAATATTCCGGAATAATTCAATCGTTCATTTTCAGCCTTTCAAGAGAGCCATTCGAAGCTTCCGTAAATTGAATTGTCAATCCCTAGGAAGGGAAATAAGAGAAAGTGCCTATCGCCGAAGCCTTCACCGTAAAGGACATTGAACATTGTTGTATTGTTTCTTTAATCACAGGATATACTCTGCCACCTTATGTCTACGAGCTTATATTATCCATAAAATCAGCCTGTGCAAAAATATTTTTTTGCTCGTATTCATTTTCGTCGTACATGTAGGTAAACAAAGTATTCTCATATGTCGTTTTGCCACAAAATGAAAGGAATAGTACAAAATCTTGGTATTTCCACTAAGTTCTGTGCTTCATAACAAACCCATCCTGGACATGTCACAGTATGACACCGAAAAGTGAAATAGAAATCGTGTAAACTTTGCATAGTTCGCACTTCCTCATCTGATAAGCGCATTTGTTGCATGTGACACACAAATTGTCATCATCTATCTTCATTGTACAAATATATGTTCCGCGAGCAATTTAATAGAAATATTTGCTTTGGTGCATAACAACCTTTTCTCGAGTTTTTATGTGATATTTATCTGGAAATCATTCAAAATAGAAAATACGAACAATTCACAAATTTTCAACGAAAAGCATATTCCAAATCAATTTTAATGATGAAAAGCTTTTTCTGCTAACAAGCACCCTTTAAAGCTATGATTCTAATGTAAAGTGACAAACGACAACATACGTCCATTTCAATTTCGAAAATGTAAATTAATCTTAATATAAAGTGAATGTATTAGAGTGAATAAAAAGTAATATATATAATATATATTTAAAACATATTAAAATACTTGGTAATTTTTCAGTGATAATGGGATCAAAAGCATCTCTGACATAATACTTCCAGTTCAACTGAAAGTTGTAGGAAGAAAACATAAACACGGACCGATGAATTTATTTTTACATATATTGCTTGGCAAGCATACATATTTATTTATTCATTTATGATGATTATTCATTTATCTGAGCACAATAAGGGAAAATGTAAGCTAGATATAATTGGAAAAGAGAAATTCTAGTACAATTAATAATTTTGAAAAGAAAAGTTGCCCGAACTGATAAGACGGCAATCGCGCATTTATAGTTTTGTGCATCATTTTGAATCCCATGTAGGTCTCAATTTCTAGAAGAGAGGAGAACAGACAAAGGAATTTCTGATTTCCGTAAATGGGATCGTGCAAATGGGATCTGAAGCGCAACTCACTCGAAAAACGCTCGTTAACCCGTTCCATCTGCTTGAATTTCGGTTTTAAGCTGGCAACAAGAGCCGGTCAGTATTTCGCGGTTGGTTTATGGATGAGAATAAATCCACTTCATGCATATTCATTTTTTTTTTTATTGGAAAGTTACAGATTGTTTCGTATTGCTGTTCAAGAAGATGAGTTCTCGTTGATAATGCGACAGCTCAAGAGCATTTCTTGTCTTTTTGTTTGCTAGTACATTGTGGGCTTATATGCATCGTCTTACCGACGTAGAAACTTCCACGGCGGTATTAAGGGAATTTCACCGAGAAAAGGATGAATGAAATGTGGCGCAATTTGTTTGGTACATTGTTTGAAAGTTTTTGCTATGCTAGGGTGAGAAGTACAATACTGTTAATGAATTTCAGGATATCAAGAATGTCATCGAATGAGACTAATGTTAGCAAGTACACCAATTCATCGGCAAATTACGACAGTGCGAAAAACTTCACAATATCAATTTCATCAGTGACGGGACACAAATGGGAACAAAATGTAACCTTATGTGAGACTGTGGACAGTTTAAAGGTAACTGGTCCTTTTGCATGTTCTAAAGCTATCATAGTTTGAACCAGTGTTTGCGTGTAAACTAAAACCAGCATGAGATTTTAGAATTTATTTGGAATGTGTCGGCTTTGTTTTGCTTGGGATAAAAATGCTGACTATCCTAATATTATTGAACTATAGCCAATTGCAGAATAAAGACTATGACTACTATCTCTGCTCCATACAACCTGTTTTCGACGTTTTATTTGACATATAAAGCATACTATCTTACTGGCAGTTTATGAACTTATATATAATTTTTTCACTCTCAGGATCGTTATATGTCCGCTGCGTTGTGTAACACATTAAAACTGATATACATAAAGCTCTATTGTTCTCAGGTATTTTCCATTTAACCATTGTATTTGGTGATAGCCACGTCAACGTCAAAGTTTGCGAACTTTAGGTGAAAATCTGGCATCGCACAGGTCTCTACCCATATCATCAAGGTCTAATTTTCGACGGTATATCGTTATCTGAATTGTGTGGACAAACATTGCTTTATGAGCTTGGTATCCGAAATAACTCACTGCTGCGTCTAGTAGTCATCACAAGATCAGGACCGCTAGCATTAGCAGTTCCTGAAAAACTTTCAACGGTCCCATGTTCTGTACAAGCTGAACAGTTAGTTTTAACTGAATAGTTACGTAGCGTGATAATTAGCAATAAACTTTGGTCCTGAATTTCTCAAAAGTTTGTATAGTTTATATGTCACGTAAAAAATCTTGCCAACAATATGTTTGAGCATTTTCAAAGATCCGGAATTCTAGATTGTTTGGTTGCAGGAATAAAGGGGATTGTTGGGAAGGATTACGTTTCTTCGGTGAACAGAATTTAGATGAAAATCGTCGAACTTTATTCCGAATGTGCGAGCTGCGACGGCAGATGAAACAGAATACTTCAGCGAAATCGAATGCTAGCGTAGGTTTCATATCACCAGTAAAGTGACGTGGACAATTGGTAGTATAAATGGAATTACTGTATAAATAAGAGTTTAATGCAGTGTACATATAATAAATAAGTTATTGATTGGTACGAACCCAAGAAACGTTTGGTTGGACATTTTTTTAGCAGTATTTTGAACAGTCTGACTTTCAATATTTCAAAATATAAATTTGGGAGACGAGTGATTTGCCATAGATTCCTAGAGTACTGACTCGTTGAATTAATCTCTATTTTGCACTTTTATTTTCATCTTTTTCTGACCTAGATAATGATGAAAAAGCGCTGTTATTACTAAGATTTGCAAATGAGATTCTAGGAGAAGCAGGTACTTTCGGCTCCAGAAGATACGAGTGCTAAAGAAAGTTCTGCTGGTGATACAGAGTGTGATGACGATAAAAGCTGTTCTTGTGGCGGTATCAGCTCTTCTGCCAAGGTTTTAGTTGAAGAACCAACCTGTTATCTGCAGTTAGTTTTTGCAGTATATGCGTTAACATTTAAATTACTTTAGGTTTTCGAGGCTGCAGCACTATCTGGAACAAAAAATGGCGATAGAAGAATTCGCCAGAATCCTAGCAGAGGTTGTGTTTTTAAAGGTTTTAAGAGATTCACAGTAATCACCTTCTTCAGAACTGCTTTTGTTTAGAAGAAACGTCAAACATTTGCCATAGCGAGTCAGTGAATAATTCTGCTCGCGACCGATTACTTATTATGATGCATCCGCGTACCGCTTCGCCTACAACAGATTTGAATACTCATTCTGAGGATGGCTCCGATTTCTCCTCTGGAATGGTGGTTTGTGATCTCAGTAACGAATTCAGAAGGTATCCTTTATATTATATTGTATACTTTTCCTCGCTCATTTTAATGCGTAAAAATTCAGATTGACTGTTGCCACTCTATTTCTACATCCCACTAGTGTCCCGCTCTCCTTCCATTTCAGTTTCAAAGCCGTGAATCAGGAATTCTATTGTGAAGAATTTAATTCCTCAACGGCAGTTTCTAGATTACGTGTACGCCGTAAACATCATGGAATGAGTAATGGATCCGCAGCTATTCAAAGAACTCGAGCCAGAAGCAAGCCAAGAATACCGCTTGCAGCTCTTTCTCATCATCACAGAGTACAGTACTCCTTGTTGCTTTCCTGTTATCTCAATTAATATGATCTTCAATTTGTTTGTGTAAGGCTGAATTTGCAACTATTTTCAGAGATTTAGATTTGTACAATATATCAAAGAATCCGTATTTTCTAATTTCAAAAATCTCCAGTTTTCTAGAGATTTTAGAAAAATTTCCTTCTCTAAAGTAGTACATATTAGTAGTTATTACTCTTCGTAAAATAACTTGTTTTTGTGTCAACATTTTCATTTAAACAGATTTGTTGCTAAGCTGATATAGATGAATGCGTTGTTAGATTAATGATTTCATCCTTTTGGAACAGATATCATTTCTAACACTTCAGCATTAGTCAGTGCAAGCTGCAAACAAAAAGAGATAATACCTTTGAATTAAGAGAAAATTTCACTTTAAGAGCTCAGATGTGACTTCAAGTGATGATGAGCTTCCACATCGACGCATAACCGAAGCAAACTTTTCGTGTTCGGCATTTCGACGTCCTTCAGCTGTTTCGCGAGCGCAGAAAGTCCTCATTGGGTATCAGTCACAGCAACGTTGCAGTGCATGTGCTGTCAAATTGAGCAACTTTTCAGTTGCATTTCAATGCAGGTGAGCAATATTTCGAAAAACTATTTGTTTTTTTTAGCATCACATCTGTTGTTTCTACTGTGTTTTTAGGTGCGGGAAAACTTTGTGTGCTCGGCATCGCCCCGCAGGAATGCACACATGTACCCGTGTTCGTAAACTGCAAGATGTCAGCGACTGAACACGTTAAGTTTCGATTATATAAAAGTGTAGATATATTGTTTCCAAAAATTCTCAACTTCAGAATCATGCAGAAAAAGAGTTCCATCATCAATCACACCATCCTAATTAAAAAAATCACTACATCCGTCCACTACTTCACTAATTGCTGAACTGCACACAATGACAGAGTGCATGCATTGTATTGTCCCTTATTAGATCTGTTCTCGTTCCCAACTCTTTGAAACTAGGACAGTCAATATATGCCCCAATTATTTGTTGTTATTCCATTGTATTTTCATTTTCATATCTTCAAGAGTAATAAAGATTAAAAGTTATCATTTGTTTTTCTGTATGTAAGCGTATCATTAATGTAACTTGCTGTTGGTTAAATCAGTTTTCGATACTTTTGATATATCTCTTCAGCCACTCCATATTTTTCGATTTATGAGGATGTATGCGATTTTGTCTGAAATATAAATTAAAGCCTAAGTATAAAGCACATTCGACAACTTCGGTGAATTTTTAGTCGATCAGCTCGCATTGATAATTGCAAATGATTTTTCCTTGGAAGTATGAATGTTTGGACTGGGAATGCACATGTTTTTAAGTTATTTAGATAACAGGAATTTTCCAATACACTAGTTATTTAGGCTTGAATCGGGTGACTCATGAACAGGTACACAAGTCTCTGTCATCTGAGCACTGAAGCTGATATCCTTAGGCGATATGATGTTCTTTTATATCACCGTATAGCTTTTATACGTTTTTCTTGAACAAATAAAGCTCTGGGAATGTTTTTAGTACATTATACCAGTAATCTTATGCACCGAATTACAGCGCTGCTCTCAAGCTTTATATAATTTCATGCATAATCGTAACGGTAGCAGTTTTTAGCCGAACTTTTCAGGGCATCTTCGCAATCGTGTAAGTAGAGCGAAAAGTACAACGCACTTCCTAATTCCTCCGAGAATCCCAAATTGGCCAAGTCGTAGATGAGCTTACTACTGTTTCTACATAAGTAGATTTACTATCCGCTTATAGTTATATCGATGCTGAGAGATATATGTGAAAGCGGATTGAGGATGTGGGTAGCTGTTCATTGATTTTGCGCATGGATTGGAGTATGCTAAGCAAAGTTGCACGGTATTTCTGCCGTACCCTTAAGATACTAATGAGGCTACATGTGGGACAATATGCCTATACCGAAAGAGTTGTTTGAACGAAATTATGAAAGTAATTGAGAAAATGTTTTTTTATGAGTCAGAAATTAGTTGAAGAAGATACCCGTGTATATTAGCTACACCCCATGAATAGTATCGAAGAGTCCATTTGTCTGAAATGTATGGAATGAATTTCGATTCGCTCTTAAGACATTGAAAAAGAGGCAGTAAATGAATAACATTTATGCATGTAAATTTTATTCCATTTGTTTCAGTGGAAAAAGAAACGCTTAAACACGTCAACTAATCAATTAACCTCTTTATATTGATGAAAAGAACCCCTATAAGGCACCCTTTCAGGATTTGCAAACAGATTCGCCCTGTAGTGACTAGACTTCGAATAGTTGTGTAAAGACCAAATTAGGAATGGAGCTCAACATAAAACATGCTGCTGAAAGTAGCAATAGTTTATAGCAGACTTCTTTAAAAACGTCCTGATTCGTGGAAGATTGTTATTGCAACAATCTCAATGTTTTCTTTTTTCCACACAAGTGACAATACATTTGTGAAAAGAAAGTAATCTTAAACCAAAAATTTTTTTACTCTGCTTACTATTTACAATTCAATGATGTCAGATTTTGTCTAAATCTCGAACTTCAAAACGACAACTGGATCACTTTTATAAATGGATACTTTGTAGAGTAAAAAATTAAGAATTACCATAGCATCCCAATGAAGATATGTTCATTAAATGAACGGTAAACAAAAATTACATCAGGCGAACAGAAAAGCCACAACAAACAATTAGTTTGATTTCCAGTTAATTCGATGGCTAAAGAATAGGGGCACTGAGAGTACAGCAAACAACTAAAAAAAGTGTTAATTGATGGGTTAGTTGATGTTACATCTTACAGTCACTTTCTGAATGCTATATCTCCTTTTCAGAACATCTTGTGAGATAAATCGAAATCGTCCCATATATTCAAACAAACGAGCATTAAATTGATTTAGTGACTGCGGTTTTTTCTGTTCTCGATGGTAGTCTGCTTCCTATCATTTATAGCGCTCTTGAATGGAGCGAAATGCTGAGCCCGATGAAGTCTCGGTTTACCGCATTTATGATTATTCATTACTGTAGGATGGGCAGACGGCAAGCTGCACCCTTCACAGTTTGGGCTAAGGCAATGTTTGTCGGGTCATTTCTTCAAATAAAAAATGTGATTTCTTCTATGGTCTTTCTGAAAGACCTGAATGAAATGGTTTTCCCTAACGGAAACAAAATTGGGCAGGATGAGGGGCAGATATCTAGCCAATGGAGAGGACACTTCTTTCACCGATGCCTCCGACTAAACATATTTAAAATTCAAATCAATTTGGTTGATTTGAATTTTAGTGTCAGACCGATAGGGAGACAGGCCTGCATCCACAATTCCATCGGATCGATTCAGTCCCATTACAAACAGCATCAACACCACCACTCCCTTCCATCCCTGGGCGAGAGCGATAGGGACATGCCGCTTTTCTGCCCGTCGTCACACCTCTTACCTCCCTATTCTCTGGGTGGTGTAGCGGAGCGATCGTTGTTGGATCGGGATGGGTATTGAGGATGGCGCTGGATGTGAGCAGCCAGTGCTACTTGCTGTACTCGCATTGGACCGCGTCCAAGACTGTTCCTAACATATACTACTAACACTCTCTCTCACTCTCTGCCTCTCAGGGCAATTTTTCGGCTTGGCTTATCTCGAAATATGTTATGTGCTCTTCTCATTTCCCTTCATATCCCAGAGCCAAAATTAACTGGTTTATCCGGTATTGCTGTTTTTTAAGATTACTGCTCATTTTTTCTATCGGAATGGTCATTAAACAATACTTACTTTCGTGTAGGTTTCTGCCTTCCTTATACATTAATTTTCATTTTTAAAGATTTCCCTTTCCCTTTTTCTTCACTTACGCGTCATTTTAACTGTCTTTCGGTTGGTCGTCTCGTAATGACAACTTAACCGGTAATTCTTTTAAGTAGCTGGTATTTATTGACCAGTCCTCTGCACGTGAGCACATTATCATTGAATCCATCATCGATAAAAAGTTGATTTTATGGACGAAATATGAATACTTTCCTTCGAAGTCAAAGGGAACACTTAGTGGTTATCTATCTGCTGAATCACATATGCAATGGGCAATCACGGGAATACTTTTGTTGCGGAAAATATTCAACCATGAATCAAATAATCTCATTTCTTTTTGCTTATGATGACGATGACTAATATTTGATATTTATGTCATCCAATCACTGCTCCTTCCCTTATTGATCGTTATTCTCATTACTTGTTGTTATTTATCATAATGGTAACTGACATCATGAAGTAAGATCAGTTAGCAATAAAATAGTAAGGTGCGGCCGAATGAATATAAAGTGTGTCTTGTTAACATCGTATCCTATCAGTCCTGTCTGTTACTATCACTGCGAAATTATGATTCTCATTGGTTAGGTAAAGGAAGGAATGTATCCCATTGAGTGAAGCAAAATATTAAACATGGGAACTGTCCAGTAATTCAGTTTTTACTGTCCTCTACCCTCATTATGATACGTCCATCGATGGATTAAACAGCCGATGAAACAATAATATCTTTACAGCCACTAAAAATGGATATAGTTCACCTCATTCATTTTACTTAGGATCTGCTGTAGTACGGTCATTGTGTTGATGTTATTAAAGTTGTGGACGATAATTGAAAGGTTAAGAATATATTTTAGATAGTACTCATAAACATGGCTAATCTTGTGTTATGTAGTAACGGTTGAACATAACACTACTTAAAGTGTACGGTTTATCATTTTATTGACTACTTTTGTATTCAGTCTTTCAGACTTTTTGCGAAAATTTCATAATTGGGTTAATGTGACATGAGAGTGATTAGTCGTGATTGTGTTTAGGGAAATTGATATCTGTTGTTTATATCGTACATAACATTTACATAAACTGGATATTCCAATTACGTGAGGAGATCGCGGGTCGTTTTTCCGCTCACTTTTATAATATCGAAAACTGTTGCACTGTTCACATTAACGCATTTCGTACCAATTATGGAGACATTGATGTGTTTCCAGTACAGTTAGGTGCTGATAGTAAAAATCCTCTTATTAATGTCCACTTGCTGAGAATCTTTATATCACCATGTTAGATAAGTTTTTGGACAACTTATTCTGTAATTCATTGAGGTGATCGTGTTGATATGAGGATAAGATCGTATGCAATATTTTTTTCCACATTTTTTACTAGTTCCTGCCCTTTGTTTGATGAGACAGCTTTTCGAGCAGTTTTTCGCTTCACTTTAATTTATACATTTGTGATTTGTTACTCTTCTGTTCCTGTTCTACTAGCAGATGATTTAACATCCGGTACGAGTGCTTATTCTGTTGATTAGATTGTTTTACCATTTTCTCTTAAAGTTGATGAGGATGATTTTCCATCTACTGTATAGTAGTGATTGAGATGTACTGTAGTGATCTCATTGATGCTTTTCTCCTCATTGGCATTGCATTGCATTCTCATAGCATTATCAGCCTACTAAAAATTGTTTCTAATATGCAAATTTGTTTATAGTCGGTTCGGTTAGTGGTAGTTATTGTTTGTGATTGTAATCATTTATTGACCATCGTATATATTTGTTCACATTTTAAACAGAAGTGAGGAAAAATGTGAAGATGACAAGTTTTGCAGGCGGGTGACTGATACAACTCAATTGTTGATGAGTAATCCGGTAATCGAGGCAGGTCGCTGGTCAGTAGAACCATCAGAATCGCAGCAGCAACAAATACTTTCAGATAATAGTCAACATTCCAATAAAGTATTACTTTTTAATTTGTTCATTTTCAAAGGAAACTCCATGAATGTTAAACACTTCTATTGTGAGGAAACGCAGATGAGATGAAGGATTTTACAGGGTGAGAGCAGTGCAAGTTTTTTGCGAGCAGCGCGTGCTGGAAATTTAGATCGTGTACTTGAACTGCTGCGTTCGGGTACTGATATAAATACGTGTAATGCGAATGGACTTAATGCGTTACATCTGGCCTCCAAAGAAGGTCATCATGAAGTGGTTCGCGAACTTTTGAAACGGAAAGCATATGTTGATGCTGCTACTAAGGTTGTGTACATGAATCCGTCATTCCTTTTTTTCTCTTATTAACAATTTGTTTTTAGTATTATCGCTTTTGCTATATATATATATATATATATATATATATATATATATA